CACATCCACTCCCTCTGGCTGTCCTTTCGTTATAACCTTTTATAATAAACTGGCAATTGAGTAGGTAAAATGTTTTCCTGAGTTCTGTGAACTGCTCTAGCAAATTAACTGAACCTGGGGAGGGGGCCCAATCTATAGCTAGTAGGTCAGAAGCACGGATAACAATCTGGACTTGTGATTGGCATCTGAAGTCAGGGCAGTCTTGTGGGACTGAATCCGTAACCTGGGGGATCTCGATGCTGTCTCTGGGTAAACAGCGTCAAAATTAAGTTGTAGAACACCCAGCTGGTGTTGCAAAATTGCTTGGTGGTACGGGAAAAACCACACATACACTTGGTGGTCAGAAGAGTCCGAAGTGAAGAGTTGTACTAGGATTGTGTGTGAGGAAAATGAAAACAAGTTTTCTTTTATATCCACGCAGTGTATTTTTTCATCTCAGATATCATATTTTTAATCTCTCAACTTTCAACTTGTGTTTTGTAACTTCCTTGTCTCTTCTGAACTTTTTAGACATATTGAATACAATTATAATAACTATTTTAATGTTCTTCCCTGTTCATTCTAACATTTGTGTTAGTCTGGGCAAGCTTTGATAAAATGATAACTCTCATTACGGGCCATGTGTTCCTGCCTTTTTTGTGTCTTTGATTGGATGCTGGAAATTATGAGTTTTACCTTGCTGGGTGTTGGACATTTTTTATATTCCTATAAGTTTTCTTTAGCTTTTTTTCCTGGGAGGAAATTCAGTTACTTGGAGACAGCCTGGTCTTTTCAGGTCTTGCTTTATGTTTGTGAGGCATTTTCTGGAGCAGAGCTCAGTCTAGGGCTAACTATTCCCTACCACGGAGGGACGACCCGCCTGAATACTCAACCCAGTGCTCCATGGATCATGAGTCTTTCCAATCTGGCTGGTGGGAACAAGCATTGTTCCTCGCACTCACTGCTTCTAATTTTCAGATGTGGTTCATTCCTTGGCCTCCCAGCATGCCCATATCAGTACTCTGCTGAATACGTGAGGGGCTCTGTCTCTTGCAGCTATCTGCTCTCTAGTGCTCTTGCCTAAGAACTGTAGCTGACTTGATCTTTCTGGAAAGTCACCTTCCTCTTTGCAACTCAGGGAGTCTTCCAGGCTTCGTGTTAGCTCCCTCCATCTACACTGTGGCCTGGAAAATCTACCAAAGCAGTCGTGTGAGGCAATGGTAGGACTGACCTTGTTTATTTCCAATACCCTTCGTTCCCTGGTGTCCAGTGCCTTGAAAACTGTTGTTTCATATATTGTGTCTGTTTCTTGCTTATTTGTTTCCAATGGGAAGATAAATCCAGCCCCTCTCTTACTCTATCTTGACCAGAAGCAGAAGTCAGTAGCTACTCTTCTATTATTTACTCAAAATATTCTCTGGGTATCTATGAGCCAAGCACTGTGCTAGATGCTGAATATACAGAAGTGAACCACAAAGGTATGTCCCTGCCTCATGGCAAATCTGTCTGATGAGGATCAATGTCTGTGAGAAGGCAGAAAATTTGCTAGTCCCTGGATCTATGCACGACATGAATCACAGATGGTTCTTCCACTCAAGGAATTCAGAATTAGGAAAGACCAAGGCAAATTAGTTAGTACAAAGCAGACGGTGAAAAGTGTTGTGTGTGAGATACAAAGATTCTGGGCATATATATTGAGGAAGTAATGCATTTAATTTGAGTTAAGGGAAAGCTTCATAGAGGGAGCACAATTGAGTTGGGCCTTGAAGAGTGAGTGTAATTTTGCTTGGTGGAGAAGTAGAGGGAGATAGAACAGTCAAAGTGCTTTTAGGCATCAAAATAGTTCACATGATTCCCTCTGGCAGACACAGCGGTCCTGCTCATTATTCCTTGTACAGAACCCCAATCCTGTGCTTTAGAGGAAACTGTATCTTCCATCCCCAGAGAGTAAATTTTGATTTGTCAGCATCAACTCCAGGAATTCCACCTCCATTGTCTGTCACTGGGTCAGGTGTAACCATGTGACACAGGTCTGGCCAATGAAATGTGAAAGAAAGTCTGCAGGGAAAGTTTTCCTCCTGATAAAGGGAGGAAACACATCTCTTCTCCCTGACTCTGAGAGAAAACAAACAGAAAACCTGGTCCCTGATGATGTTATCAAGTCATGTGAATGAACCAATCTGAAATTGATCTTGTTACACAAGATGATCAAGTTTTCTTACTATTTTAGTGACTTCTGGTTGGATTTTGTTGTAGTTGGTGATGTTACTTACAGCCAGATGCAACAAATAAGCACACCCTAAATGACCAACTCAACTATTGGAAATTTGCTTTTTCTTTCCACGGATTCAACCCACTGCTAAATTTCACTCTTCTTGCTTCTGGTCCCTTTGTCTCATCAAGAATGGAGATTAATCTAAGAGATGACCTTGTACTTAGCCATACATGCACATGGGGAGAAATGAAAAGCAATTTTAAGATGAAAGAAAGCAATTGCACAGGAAATACTTTGACTAGTACTAGTCACTACTCCTGATTCTTTGGTTGAGAGGACTTGTTTAACACTCATATGATGGTGGAAGGATGAAAATACAAAAAAGAAAATACAAAGGCAAGCCCAGGAGAAATCATATAAAGTCTTTCATATTCACAGCCCTGCTGGAATTCTCTGGTAATTCCCATGGGAGCCAAGACTGCCTCTGGAACAATATGACTGCTGGAAACCGCTAGTGTCTGGCAGGAAGCCAACTAGAACAGGAGCAAAGGAGGTACTTCCCCATTCCTGCGAGTCTGGATCATCCCATGGGCCCAGAGTGCTTGTGGCAATTCCCATTCCCTTCCTGATCCTCCTCTTCTTTTTCTAGCTCCCATCTCTTCCTCTCTGTGTCTCCTCTTCTTTCTTCTCCTCTCAGCCCCATCCCCCAACCCCACTCAACAATTCTTGCCTGATGAACCCAGAAGGTACTAAGCCACCTACTTCTCAAGGCTCTTGCATTTTAATAGAGAGCTCTTACACATTCAAAACAATGCTTGTCTATTGCTAGAAATTCAGGTCTCTAGACTGGCAGTGGGGAACATGTCTGTTCTCAAGCACAGCACTTCCCATCTCATAAAAAGTCAGCTTAGGTGGGGTGAGGCACCAAGGACCAGATCCCCAGGCCTCACTGCCAGCTGGGAGAGAGGTACAGGATCACAAGGATATTACTGCTACTACTCTCAAACCCTACTGCTTTCTGCCAGCTCACACGGGACCTTATCCTCTTCTCATACACCCATACCCCTGCTGTCTGTCTGTCTGTCTTATCCCACTCACCTTCAGCCTCAATTTAGATATCCCCTCTTCCAGGAGGCCTTCCCCAATCAATCCCCAAGTCTGGGCCCTGTCCCTCTGCTGTACCTCTATAACGCTGAATGCCTTCCTCTCGGAGCACTTGTCACGCTGATTTGCAATCCATGGCTGCTCAGTAAACCAATAGCCAGCATAGCCCTGACATTTAGCAGGTGCTCAGTTTATTGAATGAGTGAATGTTCACATACCCTATTGCTCTGCAGAGACCTTGACTGTGTAGTTTCCCATTGAACTCTTAGTTCCCAGTTCAGTGCTTAGGCCATGGTGGGCACACAATGATTATGTGTTAGTTGATTCTAAGAAGTCTTCAAAAGAAAGGTAGATGCATCTATACTGTTGTTAGCAATGTCCAGACATTCTTAATATGAGGGCAAGCAGCACAGACCAGGGGTCTTTTCTAGACTATCAGGGATGGAGTGGAGTGGGGGGTGAGGGGCAGGGGGCAGGGGCAGAGCAGGGATAGCAGAACAATCCTGGAAGTACAGCTGTCAGGGGTGTGGGGAGGGGCTCTTCTCTTAAACCACACTTTTAGTTTTCTAGGGATTCTTAACCTGGGGCTCATGAGTGAAGCTTCAGAAGATCCGTAAATCCCCTGACAGTTTAACCCAACATCCATGCCAGTATGTGCATTTTTCTGGAAGAGGGTCCATGGCTTTCGATGAGTCTGTGTCAAAAGATTGGACACAAGAAGAACTGTGGCCCTGGACCTGCACTGTCCAGTGATAGTCACTAGCCACATGTGGCGATTTACGTTTACACGTCAAAGCCTCAGTTACACTGGCTACAAATCAAGTGCGCTCAGTGGCCACTACCTCCTGGACAGCCCAGGTATAGCGCATTCCCATCACTGCAGAAAGTTCTGCAGGCGTCTTTACATTGGCAGCTTTACTCCAGATTCAATGCACAGACAAGATTTGTTTGGATCACGTGGTGCGTTTGCAAAATGAATTGTCATTATTTAGAGATGAAAGCATAAGCATCTGAAATCCCGATTTCTTTGGGGAGATGGGACTCTGCCAGCTTTGGGTCTGCATTCCTCCTGGTGCTGGAGTGCACGGGCTGCTCCTTTAGATGGGCCCCGGTCCTTTGAAATTACCTGCTTGGCCCTCCTGCACATTTGAGTTCACGACCCTCAGTTCCAGGGGTCCTTGCCCACCCTGGTCTCTTTCCAGTCTCTTGTGTTTGTGACCCAGACTCCCAGTTTGGGTAAGAGGGGTTGAATCTGGTCTAAGAGCACATCTTGGGGAGGGGTCTGGGGCTGAGATTGGGGCTCCCGGCTGGAAGTTTGGGACGCAGATCGGGGTGCGGCAGTGCCTCCCTCCTTTCAGTTCTCCGGAACTGGAAGGAGAGAAAGGGAATTTTATTCTGAACATCTGTTGCTTGACAAAGAACTTCTTCCCAGTCTTCCCATGAGCCCTCCAGTCTCTAACGCTGCATGCCTGGGCCCGCCCCCAGCGCTGAGATCGCGGGGAGGGGCCGAGGCGAAACCCGAGCCCCGGCCCACCACCCCGGCTGGCAACGTGGCTCGGCGGCCCGGCCTCCCCCGCCTCCAGCAGTCCGGCGTCCAATGGGCCCGTGAGCGCGCCGCCCGAAGATTCCCCGTCCGCGGCCGGGCGCGCGCGCGGGGCGGGAACTGACCGAGGGGCGGCCCGTCCCCTCCCCCCGCCGGCCCCAACCCCACTCCCCAGTCGCTTCTCTTGTCGCTCGCTCGGTGCCTCCCCGCGGGCCGCTCTCTCCTCCCGATGGCGCGCGGGAGCTGCGGCCACTGCCTGGGACTGGCCCTGGCGCTGCTGCTGGTGCTGGCGCTGGCTCCCCGGGCGCTGCGGGCCAAGCCCACGGTGCGCAAGGAGCGCGTGGTGCGGCCCGACTCGGAGCTGGGCGAGCGGCCGCCCGAGGACAACCAGAGCTTCCAGTACGACCACGAGGCCTTCCTGGGCAAGGAGGACTCCAAGACCTTCGACCAGCTCACCTCGGAGGAGAGCAAGGAGAGGCTGGGGTGAGCCGCGGCCCGGGCTGCGTTCGGGGGCGTTGCAGGTGCCCGCGGGGCCATCCGGGCGGGAGCCACGCGGAACTCGAGCCGCAAATCGAAAGAGAAATCGGCGCGCGGACCTGAGGGCGGGGTGCAGCGGGCGCGGCGGCGGTGCTGCGAAATGTGCCGGCGGACGCCGGGACCCCGCGTGGAGATCGCCCCC